AGCGGGCGATTGGGCAGCTGAAATGTCGGTGGCGCTGCCTTGACAGGACCGGGGGGATGCTGTTATACCGCATCATACTGGCCTGTGGAGTGCTGCACAATGTCGCGCACAGGCATGGCATACCCCTTGGTGAGGTGGGGGCACCGCCAGATGACCCTGACCCAGGACCAGTATATGTGCAGCACAATCAACAAGCCATTCAGGCCCGTCAACGTGTAATTGCGACAATATAAATGGTACTCAGACACAAAGTTCATTTTTTGACCAATTCTTTTAATGAATGGCTTATTTCTGTGAGTGCGTCAGTGACATTTTTAAGGTGACTGTTCATTTCTTCAATGGCCCTAACAATTTGTTGTTGTGACTCCAGAACAGCATGCGTCAAGACACGGCCAGATGGACGGGCTTCAGCACTGGGGGGAACATTAGAGACACGGGAGACGCTGGACTGAATGGGCTCTGGCTGCTCAGGTGGTGCGGACTCTGAGTGCGTGCCAGTGGACGTTCCTGCGGTTCCTAAGTCCAATTAAACACAGGCACATCTTAACAGTAATTTGAGTCTGTTCCTTATTAATGGGTACACGCATTTGCAATAAAAGCAGTGGATACGTGAAATCTCTGGTGTACCTTTTGCTATATTGCATGCATTTTAAAATTAAACGGTGGCTGGCTATGTATATCAAAGTTAAGGAAATAAATCTGAGTCACCTTGCTGGCAGTCCTGTAGTATATCCGAGTCTCCTACATCAGCGGATACGATTCCAGAGATTAATGTGTCTCCTACAATAGAGGCAACTCTCTGATCAAAGGGTGCAAGTTCATCGGTCCCTGTACCACCGCCTGTTCTGCCCACACTTTGTCGGTGCGCAGCAGTTCTCCGCTTAACTTCCACCTTTATGTCTGACCATTTCTTCTTCAGTTCATTTACGGTGCGACTCTCAGATCCCACCGCGTTGACGGCATCAGACAAACTCGCCCACTCTTTTTTCTTTCTTTTGTTATTAATTCCAGAGGACAGATTTCCAAATAAAATATGTTTTCTTGTTTCTACCTCTGATAGTAGCACCTCTAATTCGTTTTCAGTGAAATTTCGTTTCTTGCTTGCTTTAGCCATGTTCTTGCAGGTTTCTTTTGCCAAATTGGACTAATTACCATATTTAAATTGATTTAATTGAGGGAGGAGACAGGGTGTGGTGTGGTGCTCGTGCATGTGCGCTCAATTTCGCGTTGATTGGGATGTACAAAGAGAATGTATGTGGAATGCTGCGTACGCAGAGATTCATACATCAGATTTTTTTGGTGCGTACGCACATTTATGGCTTTGTCCGTACGCAATGTTTTAGTATGAATTCAACGCAAGTCTTTGTACATGAGGCCCCTGGTCTGCCACAAAGTATATTGAACATTTTATTGTGTAACAAAACTACACATTGTATCTAAACATATCATGATATTTAGATAATTCATTTGAAAACCAAGACATTCTATAAAGAAGACAGTGAAAATCTTTAGGCCAGCCTTAAGCCCTGTTATTGATTCTCGTTATGTTGATATTCATTGAAGAGTTGATAACGACTGCAATATTGTGTAAAAGTATAGATTTTATTGATTAAATTAAATAGCATCTCAGACTGATTGTTACAAGATATAAAATGTAAATGCATACAGTATCTTAACATGAAAAATATATATTAGAAAATGTAACATCCAGTCAAATAGAAATTAGCATAATAATATGATCAGTCCTTATGTGGAAATAGTGTTCTGTTGTTTCTCCTGTGGGTCTGTGGTGCTTCCCTCTGTGGTGCTTCCCTCTGTGGTGCTGTCCTCTGTGGTGCTTCCCTCTGTGGTGCTGTCCTCTGTCTGTGAGCTGAGGAATTGTGGCGTCTTCACATCCATGCTACAGTTGATGGGCACCACTCTCTCAGTCACCTCCTCCTCAGCAGATAATGGATTCTTTGGAGCCTCAATGTGGAGCTTCCCATCATGATCCAGGGAGCAGGTGACTGTCTCAGGATTCACCCCTTCAGGCAGATAAAACTCCTGTCTGAACTCCTGGCATCTGTAAGAGTAAGAGCCTTCCATATCATCCTGCTTCTTCTCTGTCTTCCCACTGACTCTCAGCTTCCTGCCCACCTGCTTGACAGACAGCTCCTCTGGGGAGAAGTCTTTAGTCTCCAGTGTCAGGGCAAAGCCCTCTCCCTCTTTCTCCAGTGTGTAGGAGACTGGTTGGATGACCACAGAGGCTGGGACATAGTCCATCTCCTCAAAGATGTGCTGCTGAAGTTTCTCCATCAGCTCCAGCCTGCTCTTGAGCTCCAGCATGTTTCTCTGCAGTAGATCCCGCTGGCAGAAAAGAGGTTGAACCTCTGGCCAAAGACTACACACAGGCCAGTAGAAGTCCATCAATGGGCTGAGGGAAGACTGGAATATTTGGGAGCACAGCATCTTCAGTCAGTGTTAATGTTGAGTCCCCTTGCTCTGAGATGATACCGTGTGTTCAGTGTTGGTTGTGTTGGTTTCTGTCTCAGTAGTGGGAGTTTCACAGCTTTTATATTCTTCCACTTTGAGCTCCAGTGTCTTCAGGAACTTTTCTGTCGTTGCCACAGTTCTCCACTGGGTGTCACCCTGCAGGAAGTGGTGATGTCAGTCCAGTCAGCTTCTAAATCAGGTAGTTGGAACAAGCTGGATGTTTTCCACATTCATTTACATTACATTTACATTTTACATTTACATCATTTAGCAGATGCTCTTTTTTTTATGGGGGGGTAGAAGGATTACTTTATACTATTCCAGGTATTCCTTAAAGAGGTAGGGTTTCAAGTGTCTCCGGAAGGTGGTCAGTGACTTCGCTGTCCTGGCGTCGTGGGGGAGCTTGTTCCACCATTGGGGTGCCAGAGCAGCAAATAGCTTTGACTGGGCTGAGCGGGAACTGTGCTTCCGTAGAGGTAGGGGAGCTAGCAGGCCAGAGGTGGATGAACGTAGGTAGTGCCCTCGTTTGGGTGTAGGGTCTGATCAGAGCCTGAAGGTAGGAGGTGCCGTTCCCCTCACAGCTCCGTAGGCAAGCACCATGGTCTTGTAGTAGATGCAAGCCTCAACTGGAAGCCAGTGGAGTGTGCGGAGGAGCGGGGTGACATGAGAGAACTTGGGAAGGTCAAACACCAGATGGGCTGCAGCGTTCTGGATAAGTTGTAGGGGTTTAATGGCACAGGCAGGGAGCCCAGCCAACAGCGAGTTGCAGTAATCCAGACAGGAGATGACAAGTGCCTGGATTAGGACCTGTGCCGTTTTCTGTGTAAGGTAGGGTCGTACTCTGCGAATGTTGTAGAGCATGAACCTGCAGGATCGGGTCACTGCTTTGATGTTAGCGGAGAACGACAGGGTGTTGTCCAGGGTCACGCCAAGGTTCTTTGCACTCTGGGAGGAGGACACAATGGAGTTGTCAACCGTGATGGCGAGATCATGGAGCGGGCAGTCCTTCCCCGGGAGGAAGAGCAGCTCCGTCTTGCCGAGGTTCAGCTTGAGGTGGTGATCCGACATCCACACTGATATGTCTGCCAGACATGCAGAGATGCGATTCACCACCTGGTTATCAGAAGGGGGAAAGGAGAAAATTCAGGTATTAGTGTGCTCTTACCTTCTCACAGATGATTGCTTCAGCCAAATAGGATTATTACTTGTGAAATGAATTGTGAATTAAAATGTGTTTTGAATCATATAATTTTGACATTTGCAATATATATGGAGCGTATACAGGCTATTCTTCTTCAGTGTCTTGACATAGATGATGAGCAGAACCAAACCGAAGTGGAAGTACGATCATAAGCTAAGTTATAAAGATAATTGTCATCACAGGTCAGGACTTGTTGTCACAGAGGTCAAAATTTAGATGAACTCATTCAAAAATATTGCAGGGAGAAATCAAATTTTAGACCATTTTTGGGAGATTGTACAGCATTATGAAATTGATAATGTGTAGATGTTGGTGTTATTATAATATTGTTAGAAATGTAATAAATGTTTGTTTGGCAATATATTTGGCATGCATTTTCTAATTAACAATATTTTCAGAATTGTGTGAAAACAATTCCCTCACGTGCAATTAATCTAAAAACACTACAAATGCTCAAAAAGGCCTACATTGCAAACCCTGACAAGTCCCCATAAAAAAATTTTTCTGAAGGTTTATAAACATGTAATGAACATGTTAGAATACAAATAATTTTAGTAGAGCTTTAGAAAATTGAATTTATTGAAACTGATTATTGAAAAATATCAGGCCAGTGAGCTATTGGAATGTTAGCGTTATGTTGATATTGTGCAAACCCACAGTTTCATCAGCGGTCCGGGTGGCTGGTCTCAGACGATCCCGCAGGTGAAGAAGCCTGATGTGGAGGTCTTGGGCTGGTGTGGTTACACGTGGTCTGCGGTTGTGAGGCCGGTTGGACGCACTGCCAAATTCTCTAAAATGACGTTGGAGGCAGCTTATGGAAGAGAAATTGACATTCAATTCTCTGGTAACAGCTTGGGTGGACATCCCTGCAGTCAGCATGCCAATTGCACGCTCCCTCAAAACTTGAGACATCTGTGGCATTGTGTTGCACATTTTAAAGTGCCCTTTTTTTGTCCCCAGCACAAGGTGCACCTGTGTAATGATCATGCTGTTTAATCAGCTTCTTGATATGCCACACCTGTCAGGTGGATGGATTATCTTGGTAAAGGAGAAATGCTCACTAACAGGGATGTAAACAAATTTGTGCACAACATTTTAGAGAAATAAGCTTTTTGTGTGTATGGAACATTTCTGGGATCTTTTATTTTAACTCATGAAACATGGGACCAACACTTTACACATTGCGTTTATATTTCTGTTCAGTATATTAGCTAAATTGAAACTAAAATGTGTTGATTTTTTTGTTTTTATACAGTAATAATTCCCCTCCCACCTCCACCAAACCCATCTGCAGAACCTAATTACAGGAGTTGCTACAGATGGAACTATGGAGAGGAGTTCAGAAGTGACCTGTTTCTCCATCAATCTGTTTTCTGTGAATGAGGACCAGGTACAGGGAGAGATACAGGTGGCCAAACAGAGGCAACACCAAGGCCTTTCTCTACAGTTGAGCTCAGGCCTGGAGGAGACAGAGCTCACTATTCAGAATGGTAAATATGCATGCAAGAAACTAGAACAAGCTAATATGTCAAATTACAGATTTTTTATTTGTATACCTCATACTAGCTCTTTCCATAAGAGGACAATCAATAAGACATATTGAACATAAGTAAATCATGATAGTCTCTTTATTTATGAGTAAAATTACCAATTACCTTCTTTTTCTAAAGACAAACGTAGACATTGTATTGTCCTCTCTCTGGTCTATGAGAAGTCCATGTATGTGTACAAGAGTTTCCCATATGGCAATTTTACTTCTTTCTGTGTGGTCGCTGGACCTGCTGTGTTGACAGGTCTGGAAGATTTACTTCGCCGTTGTGTGCAACCTGTGTATGTGTGTGTGTCCGACTCTATAGCTATGGAGTTCTGCTGGACAGTATGGACCCAGACAGTGTTTTCTATACGGTACAGAGGTCCTAGCCACCATAGCTCTCTGCCTCCTGGTGCACAGAATCAGATAGTGCCACTAAACATTAGTAGCCTTTTGTCACAGTCCACTGCCAGAGTGTGCTGAAGGTATTCCTGGGATAAAGGCTGACATTGTTATTTATGGTTCTTTTACTGATACATTTACAAAAGGCCCAGTACAAATGAAACTGACTCAGGGCAAATAACACATAGGAACAGACCTCTGGACAATGGATGAGACAGAACACTGTGATTGTATCTTTTATCTTATATTTGAATTAACTGTCTGTTGTGGATTTTTTCCTGTACAGGTGATGGGGTCTGTGTTTTCAAATTCACAGTCACCAGGGAAACAGACTATTGTCAGGTGGGCACCCAGTCTTTCCTCATAACCGTTGGCTGCCTGAGCGTTCTCCTGCCGTTCAGAACACACAGTAGAAGGGAAGATAACCGTTCAGACAGCTGAGAAGGGAAGATAACCCAGCAGCCAGACTGTCTGAGCAGTCTGTGTTTGACCAGAGAACAGAGGACCCCTCTGCCCTGCAGTACTTCCAGGTAGCTTTACTGTACCAATCAACCAGGCCCTCAGAGAGACATACTGGTTGTGTACTAGGTTGTGACTGAACTCGTTCCTCCTTTACAACGTAGTTTTACGGCTGTCTATCACAACAACAGAATATGTTGCAGGATTATTTGAGGACAGCCACATGTCAAAAGGCCATTCTGCTAAACGAGACTGACTTCAAGGACAAGGTAAGAGTAACCAGAACAACAGAACCTGATCGTCTGTTACTGCATGTAGATGTAATGTCTGGCTCCTTCCTGTATCCAGGTAGTACTTGATGTTGGCAGTGGATCAGGGATCCTGTCTTTCTTCGCCATCCATGCTGGAGCAAAGAGGGTGTATGCTGTGGAGGTCAGCCCTAAAGGTGTCTGTTTTACTGCCTGCTCTGGCAGCATCTGATTTTGTTCCTATCAACCTTCCAGGAAATGTTAAAGGAAATTATAAATTAGCATCCTTTTGCACTTTAACATGCACTATTGGGCATTTTCAATCTATAGCACCAGAATTGTTAATAATTGCTCAAAGGTGTATTGTATGATGAATAGGTGGTAACTTCAATAACGTAATTGGTCTGTTGAGATAATTGAACGCTCTTTGCTGTTTTGAAATCTGATTTATGTTTTTGCTGTTTTAGCAGCTTTAACCACTTACGCCTAGAAAGAGAAGGAAAATCTTACGGCTTTGATCAGTGAATAAAGTCATTTGTATTGCTTGGCCCAATAAGTCCCGGGTAAAGATGATGAATCACTTATCACAGTCTTATCACCTGTGTCATCAACGCATCTTGCTCAAACCTCATGGTGTCTACATGGAGCCAAGAACAAACCCTTGATAAAAATCGCACAGCCCTGGAAATGCTATCTCAGAGAGTCACACCTCCAGAACAGAACAGCCCCTATAAACGGACCTCCTGCTTCGCGCACAGAGCATGAAATTCTGAGGGTGTAATGACTTCAGGCTGCTCTTGGCCCAGAAACCAGCTTGGTGGTGAAGGAAACATATTTTCATGGATGGATGGCCTCTAGATTAGCAGTCAGGCATAGTTCACTCTGTTCTATTTCTACTGCTTTACTTGTGTTCATTTCTAGACTGCAACCAAATGTGTCCCTTCCACAGGAGGTTGGTGGCACCTTAATTGGGGAGAACAGGCTCGCGGTAATGACTGGAGCGGAATCAGTGGAATGGTAACAATACATCAAACACATGGTTTCCAGGTGTTTGATGCCATTCCATTTGCGCTGTTCTGGACATTATCATGAGCCGTTCTCCCCTCAGCAGCCTCCTGTGGTCCCTTCATATTTATTTTCTTCCACATTGCAGCTTATCGGCCAATAGCAGAACCCTATACTCAGTTGACAAACGCTACACAAAATAATTGCGGACCTCCATAATGTATTCCTGTTGGGGTGGTTGCATGGTCTCTCTGAGCAGGCTGAATCCCTATCATACTGTAGGCCTAAGCTGTGGTCTATATAAATAGTGTGAGCCTGGGACCACCCCTGTGGATGCTTGGCCAGCGTCAGTATGCATGTGCATGGGACACAGCCTCACAGGAACACTTAACATGCCAAGGTCTGGAAAAACAGGAAGGATGCTCTGCCACGCTCTGGGATGATGAACTACACCGAGAGCACTAACAAATGATTTAGGATTGTGGTCCTCTGTAGCTCAGCTGGTAGAGCACGGCACTTGTAACGCCAAGGTAGTGGGTTCGATCCCCGGGACCACCCATACACAAAAAAATGTATGCACGCATGACTGTAAGTCGCTTTGGATAAAAGCGTCTGCTAAATGGCATATTATTATTATTATACCAGGAGCGCAACTTTGGTTTTAGAAGTGGGGGGGACATCATTATTATTATTTATATTTTTTTGTCAGATAAACACTCCAAACAGCCTACCTGACCGCTCGGAAAGTTGCGCCCCTAATTTATACACTAGATGACTGAAAGCGGTCTCTGTTTTGGCACTCTCCCACCATTGTAAGAAATATTTTGGAATATAGAAATGCATTTATTAATGTCTACATTTGTTTTTGCCACATTTATTATATTACACATACCTTAATGCATACTTTTAAATGATATATTACTTAAATACATGTCATTCTGTCCTTTGTCCTCATTCCTATGGAGGGCTGCTCCTTCTGAGGAGTGCCAATATGGCCGCAAGGTGGCTTCAAAGCCTCTCATTGGCCAATACATAGCATCAGCAATACAGGGTTTATATTTACATTTACATTTATGTCGTTTAGCAGACGCTCTTATCCAGAGCGACTTACAAATTGGTGCATTCACCTTATAGCCAGTGGGATAACCACTATACAATTTTTTTTATTTTTTTATTCTAATTTTTAAATTCTTAATTTTTAGAGTATATTTATAATTTTCATTTGTTTTATATATATTTTTATTTATTTATATATTTTTTGTTGTTGTATTTTTCAATCATTTATTATTTATCTTGTCATATTTTTTTTTTTTTTGTGGGGGTGGTATAGGGGGGGGGGGGGGGGGGGGGGGGGTAGAAGGATTACTTTTATACTATTCCAGGTATTCCTTAAAGAGGTAGGGTTTCAAGTGTCTCCGGAAGGTGGTCAGTGACTCCGCTGTCCTGGCGTCGTGAGGGAGCTTGTTCCACCATTGGGGTGCATTTATATATATATACAGTGGGGGGAAAAAGTATTTAGTCAGCCACCATTTGTGCAAGTTCTCCCACTTAAAAAGATGAGAGAGGCCTGTAATTTTCATCATAGGTACACGTCAACTATGACAGACAAATTGAGGGGAAAAAATCCAGAAAATCACATTGTAGGATTTTTTATGAATTTATTTGCAAATTATGGTGGAAAATAAGTATTTGGTCACCTGCAAACAAGCAAGATTTCTGGCTCTCACAGACCTGTAACTTATTCTTTAAGAGGCTCCTCTGTCCTCCACTCGTTACCTGTATTAATGGCACCTGTTTGAACTTGTTATCAGTATAAAAGACACCTGTCCACAACCTCAAACAGTCACACTCCAAACTCCACTATGGCCAAGACCAAAGAGCTGTCAAAGGACACCAGAAACAAAATTATAGACCTGCACCAGGCTGGGAAGACTGAATCTGCAATAGGTAAGCAGCTTGGTTTGAAGAAATCAACTGTGGGAGCAATTATTAGGAAATGGAAGACATACAAGACCACTGATAATCTCCCTCGATCTGGGGCTCCACGCAAGATCTCACCCCGTGGGGTCAAAATGATCACAAGAACGGTGAGCAAAAATCCCAGAACCACACGGGGGGACCTAGTGAATGACCTGCAGAGAGCTGGGACCAAAGTAACAAAGCCTACCATCAGTAACACACTACGCCGCCAGGGACTCAAATCCTGCAGTGCCAGACGTGTCCCCCTGCTTAAGCCAGTACATGTCCAGGCCCGTCTGAAGTTTGCTAGAGTGCATTTGGATGATCCAGAAGAGGATTGGGATAATGTCATATGGTCAGATGAAACCAAAATATAACTTTTTGGTAAAAACTCAACTCGTCGTGTTTGGAGGACAAAGAATGCTGAGTTGCATCCAAAGAACACCATACCTACTGTGAAGCATGGGGGTGGAAACATCATGCTTTGGGGCTGTTTTTCTGCAAAGGGACCAGGACGACTGATCCGTGTAAAGGAAAGAATGAATGGGGCCATGTATCGTGAGATTTTGAGTGAAAACCTCCTTCCATCAGCAAGGGCATTGAAGATGAAACGTGGCTGGGTCTTTCAGCATGACAATGATCCCAAACACACCGCCCGGGCAATGAAGGAGTGGCTTCGTAAGAAGCATTTCAAGGTCCTGGAGTGGCCTAGCCAGTCTCCAGATCTCAACCCCATAGAAAATCTTTGGAGGGAGTTGAAAGTCCGTGTTGCCCAGCGACAGCCCCAAAACATCACTGCTCTAGAGGAGATCTGCATGGAGGAATGGGCCAAAATACCAGCAACAGTGTGTGAAAACCTTGTGGGAGAACTTGCACAATTGGTGGCTGACAAAATACTTTTTTCCCCACTGTATCATTGGAACCAACCAGTGTGGACAACGCCCTATTGAAACACTCCCAGTCAGAGGATATTGCCTGGCCAGCTTTACCTGGTTTGTGTATAATACACCCTACGCTTGTGTCTCTTACTAATCTAAAGACCCAGCAGACTAAGTCTGTCCCTCTCACTCAGTGTGTGTGGAGAAGCTGCCCACCAGCTCTCGCATCATTAAAGCAACTCACTGTTTACACAGCAGGCAAGTGTACTGTACCAGAGCACTTCGAGGGAGAGTTTGCATGCATGAGGGTTTACCAAAACACAATTTGTCAACAGCGGATTATTTCTCTCTAATTTTAGCCAGCAGATGAATGTCTTTATCAAAGCCTCAGGAGTGCAGTGGATCATCAGTAACAAGGAAATCCATCTGATGCAAACAACAGAAACCTTCGTTTAATTTTTTGACAATATGTTTTCTGTTTCCCCTTCAGATGCTGGTCAAGAGCAATGGTCTGTCAGATAGGATCATAGTCCTGGCTGTGAAGATTGAGGAGCTGTTGTGCCCTGAGCAGGTGCCCATTGGATACATGCTGCTGAACGAGAGGATGCTGGAGAGCTACAGTGGCTTGCGAAAGTATTCACCCCCCTTGGCATTTTTCCTATTTTGTTGTCTTACAACCTGGAATAAAAATGTATTTTGGGGGGGGTTGTATCATTTGATTTACACAACATGCCTACTACTTTGAAGATGCAAAATATTTTTTATTGTGAAACAAACAAGAAATAAGACAAAAAAACAGAAAACTTGAGCGTGCATAACTAAATTACAGGTTGTAATGCAACAAAATAGGAAAAACGCCAAGGGGGATGAATACTTTTGCAAGGCACTGTACCTTCACTCCAGGAAGTGGCTCAAACCAAGGGTCAGTTCAGTCAGAGAGGAAGCGGTATACTCCACCCAAAACCTGTCCACGAAAATATGCCCACGAAGTGAGGGATTTTTCTATGGAGGTCAATGAGAGTGTTGAATTTGGTCAACCAAAAATGTAATTGCTAATTTGCTACGTGGGGCTTATACGATCGAATAGAAGATGCGTAATGCTTAGGTTTTTACGAATGCCCTGATATAAGTGGACTCACGTGGCATTGCAGCAACTTTGAAAAAAAGACTTTATATCGGAGTTGTGCCTGTTGTCATAGAGATAGAGGACTCATCCTGGATATAACCCATTTTAGAATAGACATTGCCAGTGAGGGCTTCCACCATACAGATATAAAGATGAGTCATCCATCTCTATGGCCCGTTGTGCACATGCGTATCTGCCCTCTCATTGGCTAGAATAGTCCCACCTAATTTCGCCTCCTCCCACCTGCCTTCCATCTTTGAGAACATGTATTTCCATTTTTAGAGTGGTCCCTCGACTATCTTGTCAATAGAATAGACAATATTTGGTTCAGTTCCAACATGGAAAGAGAGATGCCATTTTCCATGCTGCCATCAACCTGTGAATAGTTTTGTCAACGTCTGTATCAAGAGGGCATTATACGAACATCTATGGTTTTGTTTTGCTAATGTAATGTCTCTCTTCTTCTCTTTGCTTGTTCAGGTATGTTACCAACCTATAGTGGCATGCACCTGGCTCCCTTCACAGACGAGCAGCTCTCCATCGAGCATCATGGACACTCCAGCTTCTGGTGAGAGAAAAAAACACATTTCAGAAATATAGCATATGAACACATCATAAACCATGGCAAAAAAAATAGAACCACAGGAAATGAGCTCCAAAACGATTTTTTTTTTTTTATCTCAGCCTCATGGCACAATGTGTAGAATAGCAGGAAATTAGCTTTAAAGATGCACATTTCTCTAAGCCTCATGGCAAAATGTGTAGAATAGCATGAGATTAGCTATAATATTGCAAATGTCTCTCTCTGCCCCATGGCAAAATGTGTAGAACTGTAGGGAGTTAGATGTTTTCCCCGAAACTGCGATATGCCACTGCTACAGGTCCTACTGCTACTGGACTGTGAACCCAGCCTAGTGGGTTTCCTGTCAATGTAAAATCACAGGGAGTATTTTCTCTCTGCAGGATGACAGTGTGACTGTCCACTGCTCCTAGTGAACCTCTGACTCACTGGTACCAGGTCCACTGTCACTTCCAGACGCCTCTGTTTGGCAAGGGACAGACTCTGTCCGGAACTGTCCAGTTCATAGCCAACACGAGGTAAGCCGGAGAAGAAGGACAGTGCCTGTACTATAGAAATGGAATGGGGGAAATTGAAACAATATTATACAGAGATTATAATGTTTGCTATTCACTTCTACCAGGCAGAGCTACGACATTCACATCACAGCAGTCGTTGATCAGTCAGGCTTCAAATCTGGCAACAGTTTAGAGCTAAAGAATCCTGCTGTTTGGGTCCACAGTGATATTCAATGATATGTTAGTTTTCTCTGTATGGAGACGTCTGTAATGTTGGTCCATACATTTACATTTTAGTCATTTAGCAGACACTCTTATCCAGAGAGACTTAAAGTAGTGAGTGCATACATTTTAGTACCTTTTTGTCCATAGCAGGGCAATAGCAGAAGCTAATAATCTATTCATATCCTTTCAACGAATACAGTCTTTGGTAGAAGCGGGTAGATATGGTAGTATTGTTATTTCCTACTTGCCTAATGTGCTCTGTTGCCTGGACTACACCTCTGTCTGTCCGCCTGTTTAGAGTACCACTGTGGCAGGCAGGCACAAGCCCCGGGACTATAGGCTAGGTAAAGTACACCAGAACTGGCCTGTAGGGTCAGTAGTATAGTCAAATATATATCCCCTTTTTAAGAAAGCACATAGTTCCATCCAACAGGCTCTGTCGTAGCCGGCCGCGACCGGGAGACCCATGGGGCGGCGCACAATTGGCCCAGTGTCGTCCAGGGTAGGGGAGGGAATGGCCGGCAGGGATGTAGCTCAGTTGGTAGAGCATGGCGTTTGCAACGCCAGGGTTGTGGGTTCGATTCCCATGGGGGGCCAGTATGAAAAATAAAATAATGTATGCACTCACTAACTGTAAGTGGCTCTGGATAAGAGCGTCTGCTAAATTACTATAATAATAATATGCCATTTAGCAGACGCTTTTATCCAAAGCGACTTACAGTCATGCGTGCATACATTTCTTTGTGTATGGGTGGTCCCGGGGATCGAACCCACTACCTTGGCGTTACAAGCGCCGTGCTCTACCAGCTGAGCTACAGAGGACCACTGTCACGATCGTAGGAGGAAGTGGACCAAGGCGCAGCGTGATATGCGTACATACTTATGTTTATTAGAGTACCACACGAACAAAACAACAAAACGATACGTGAAGTCCTAGGTAACAGACACAAACCATACACGGAACAAGATCCCACAATACACTGTGGAAAACAGGCTGCCTAAGTATGGTTCCCAATCAGAGACAACAAGCAACAGCTGATACTCGTTGCCTCTGATTGAGAACCACCCCGGCCAACACAGAAACACATGAGCTAGATAATGAACCTAGAACACAAACACATAGAAACTACACACCCTGGCTCAACATAACAGAGTCCCAGAGCCAGGGCGTGACAACCACGATGAGTTTGACTTTGTTTCTTTGGTTAAAAATGCATTTTCCTTTCAAAGACATGCCTGAAGTGATCACCACCACTTCAATCAAGTTCCAGGGAACGTCATGTCCTTCACCATAAAACCACAGTTTTAAAAAAGTACAATATTTGTTTATTTTATATAATCATATCTATGAATAGCCAAAGCTATATTTAATGTATTATAGAGTGTACAGGGACACCAAGTGGAAAGAAGTGGCTCTGCAGTACCAATGCACTAAAGAGATCGAGTAGAGATAAATGTGTTTGTTAACCTGTAATACAAAACCAACAAACTTGTGTTATCCATAATAATAAGCTATCATTACTTCTCTACATCAACTAAGATCTGGTTCCAGTTCGTTCCCTGGCTTGTTAGCTCTTACCTGGATTTGATCAGTGACATTTTCAACCTGTTCCTGGCTGAGTCTGTAATACCAACATGTTTCAAGCAGACCACCATAGTCCCTGTGCCCAAGAACACTAAGGTAACCTGCCTAAATGACTACAGACCCGTAGCACTCACGTCTGTCGTCTGTAGTCATGAAGGGCTTTGAAAGGCTGGTCATTGCTCACATCAACACCATTATCCCAGAAACCCTAGACCCACTAATTTGCTTAACGCCCCAACAGATCCACAGACGATGCAATCTCTATTGCACTCCACACTGCCCTTTCCCACCTGGACAAAAGGAACACCTACGTGAGAATGCTATTCATTGACTAGACCTCATCATAGCACTGAGACTGCACTCGTGAAGGTGGTAAATTATCTTTTAATGGCGTCAGACCAAGGCTCTGCATTTGTCCTCGTGCTCCTAGACCTTAGTCATGCTTTTGACACCATCGATCACCATATTCTTTTGGAGAGATTGGAAACCTTAATTGGTCTACACGGACAAGTTCTTGCCTGGTTTAGATCTTATCTGTCGGAAAGATATCAGTTCGTCTCTGTGGATGGTTTGTTCTCTGACAAATCAATTGTACATTTCGGTGTTCCTCAAGGTTCCGTTTTAGGACCACTATTTTCACTATATATTTTACCTCTTGGTGATGTCATTCGGAAACACAATGTTAACTTTCATTGCTATGCGGACGACACACAGCTGTACATTTCGATAAAACATGGTGAAGCCCCAAAATTGCCTACCCTGGAAGACTGTGTTTTAGACATAAGGAAGTGGATGGCAGCAAATATTTTACTTTTACACTCGGACAAAACAGAGATGCTAGTTCTAGGTCCCAAGAAACAAAGAGACCTTCTGTTGGATCTGACAATTAATATTGATGGTTGTACAGTCGTCTCAAAAAAACTGTGAAGGACCTCGGCGTTACTCTGGACCCTGATCTCTCTTTTGACGAACATATCAAGAATATTTCAAGGACAGCTTTTTTCCATCTTCGTAACATTGCAAAAATCTGAAACTTTTTGTCCAAACATTATGCAGAAAAGCTAATCCATGCTTTTGTCACTTCTAGATTAGACTACTGCAATGCTCTACTCTCCAGCTATCCGGATAAAGCACTACATAAACTTCAGTTAGTGCTAAACACGGCTGCTAGAATCTTGACTAGAACCAAAGAATTTGATCATATTACTCCAGTGCTAGCCTCTCTACACTGGCTTCCTGTTAAGGCTAGGGCTGATTTCAAGGTTTTACTGCTAACCTACAAAGCATTACATGGGCTTGCTCCTACCTATCTCTCCGATTTGGTCTTGCCATACATACCTACACGTAAGCTATGGTCACAAGACACAGGCCTCCTTATTGTCCCTAGAATTTCTAAGCAAACAGCTGGAGGCAGGGCTTTCTCCTATAGAGCTCAATTTTTATGGAATGGTCTGCCTATCCATGTGAGAGACGCAGACTCGTTCTCAACCTTTAAGTCTTTACTGAAGACTCATCTCTTCAGTACGTCCTATGATTGAGTGAAGTCTGGCCCAGGGGGGCGAAGGTGAACGGAAAGGCACTGGAGCAACAAACCGCCCTTGCTGTCTCTGCCTGGCCGGTTGCCGTCTCTCCCTATTACGGGGGCTGAGTCACTGGATTACTGGTGCTTTCCATGTTGTCCCTAGGAGGGGCGCGTCACTTGAGTGGGTTGAGTCACTGACGTGGCTGGGTTTCTGTTAAGCACTTTGTGACATCTGCTGATGTAAAAAGGGCTTTATAAATACATTTGATTGAATTTGATTGACTACAGCTCAGTGTTCAACACCATAGTGCCCTCAAAGCTCATCACTAAGCTAAGGACCCTGGGACTAAACACCTCCCTCTGCAACTGGATCCTGGACTTCTTGACGGGCCGCCCTCAGGTGGTAAGGGTAGCTAACAACACATCTGCCACGCTGATCCTCAACACAGGGGCCCCTCAGGGGTGCGTGCTCAGTCCTCTCCTGTACTCCCTGTTCAGACATGACTGCATGGCCATGCACGACTCCAACACCATCATTAAGTTTGCAGAAGACTCAACAGTGGTAGGCCTGATCACTGACAACGATGAGACAGCCTATAGGGAGGAGGTCAGAGACCTGGCCGTGTGGTGCCAGGATAACAACCTCTCCCTCAACGTGATCAAGACAAAGGAGATGATTGTGGACTACAGGAAAAGGAGGACTGAGCACACCCCAATTCTCATTGACGGGGCTGTAGTGGAGCAGGTTGAGAGCTTCAAGTTCCTTGGTGTCCACATCACCAACAAACTAACATGGTCCAAACACACCAAGACAGTCGTGAAGAGGGCACGACCAAGCATATTCCCCCTCAGGAGACTGAAAAGATTTGGAATGGGTCCTCAGATCCTCAAAAGGTTCTACAGCTGCACCATCGAGAGCATCCTGACTGGTTGCATCACCGCCTGGTATGGCAACTGCTCTGCCTCCTACCGCAAGGCACTACAGAGTGTAGTGCGTACATCACTGGGGCCAAGCTTCCTGCCATCCAGGACCTCTATACCAGGCAGTGTCAGAGGAAGGCCCTAAAAATAGCCAAAGACTCCAGCCACCCTAGTCATAGACTGTTCTCTCTGCTACCGCACGGCAAGCGCTACCGGAGAGCCAGGTCTAGGTCCAAAAGGCTTCTTAACAGCTTCTACCCCAAGCCATAAGACTCCTGAACAGCTAATCAAATGGCTACCCCCCCGGCTACTCAAATCAAATTGTATTTCTCACATATACGTGTTTAGCAGATGTTATAGCGGGTGTAGCGAAATGTATATATTATGGACAAGCAATGACAGAGCGACATGGACTAAGATACAGTAGAATATTATAGAATAGAATGCAGTATATACACTGCTCAAAGAAATAAAGGGAACACTTAAACAACACAATGTAACTCCAAGTCAATCACACTTCTGTGAAATCAAACTGTCCACTTAGGAAGCAACACTGATTGACAATAAATTTCACATGCTGTTGTGCAAATGGAATAGACAACAGGTGGAAATTATAGGCAATTAGCAAGACACCCCCAATAAAGGACTGGTTTTGCAGGTGGTGACCACAGACCACTTCTCAGTTCCTATGCTTCCTGGCTGATGTTTTGGTCACTTTTGAATGCTGGTGGTGCTTTCACTCTAGTGGTAGCATGAGACGGAGTCTACAACCCACACAAGTGGCTCAGGTAGTGCAGCTCATCCAGGATGGCACATCAATGCGAGCTGTGGCAAGAAGGTTTGCTGTGTCTGTCAGCGTAGTGTCCAGAGCATGGAGGCGCTACCAGGAGACAGGCCAGTACATCAGGAGACGTGGAGGAGGCCGTAGGAGGGCAACAACCCAGCAGCAGGACTGCTACCTCCGCCTTT